CAGCAACCATGACCTCGTACTGGACGAGCAGCAACCATGACCTCGTACTGGACGAGCAGCAACCATGACCTCGTACTGGACGAGCAGCAACTATGACCTCGTACTGGACGAGCAACTATGGAAAATGGACAGTTGCTCGGATTGTTAACTTCATGGGAAGTTTGATCAAACCGTGCCTTATATCATATTCTGCTTCAGGGATTATGTTTCATAGCAAAAATAACATGCAGGCAAGCATCAGTGACAAAAATTGTATATATTTTACAAAATATCAAACTCGATGTGATTTTTATATGCAATCGATAAACAGCATGACAATATAAAACAGATTTTCCTTAAAAAAAAAAAAAAATGTACTGCTAACATTCGCTGTACATTATTTGCATTAGTGATGGGTTAGACTCACCCATCTGTGTATTTTGTCTTGATCTTTTAGGAGTGAGCAGTGAGCAAATGTGACTGCCAAATGTGTTAGAGCATGCCCCCGCAATCCCAAATAGGGGTCTCCAGCAATTTTTAAATCCTTATTTTAATATTTACTTTTTCAATCCTCAGGGAGGATTTAAGAATGGACGTGACCAGATAAACCAAAGGAGTTTAAGAGTTTGTGTTTTGGGGACTGACATCCTCTCGTCATTTGGTCTTCGGTGCATTGCCTCTCCATTGGTCCTCTGCCTTGTTCGTTTGTACGCACTCTCAGAAAAAGTCCACCTCCAGTGTCTTCCACGCATGCACCCAATTCTGTACTCCTGCCTCAATACTGCTCTGCCTCAATGAAGCCCTCCTTCTCGTGGCCACCGACGTCCACCTCGGCGTAGGCAGAGCGGCCGTTCTGGTTCCGGAACTTCATGGAGGGCCAGTATTTGCCGCGTCGCTGTGGAAACGGCAGAGGTCACAAGACATCAGGCGGGATTTGGCAGGGATGAGTATCGGTCATGTAGGAAATCAGAGTGGGGGGGCAGATGGAGAATCTGGACCACTGAGAGTCATGTCATCTGCATATTTGAACCTTCTCAGCTGCTCACTCATCAAAATAGTCCTGAAAACATACCGCTTATCAGACAAGACGGAAATGAACAGCTACAAAAAAATGCTTTGTAATATATTTTTTCCCTTCATATCATTCAGCTCCATGTACTATGGTGAGTGACATTTTATAATACATTTTATTAAATCATGAAGAAAAAACAAAATCAAAACAGTCCCCTTACTTCTCCAAGCACTAAATACATCATCCCACGACCACTGTGATACTCTTTCTTGCCAGCATCAGTTTTTGGTTGTTCATTGAGCCAAATATGACCTGAACGGCTTTCCTTCCACTCTGCAAACACTTTCCTTTGACTCTGCAAACACTTTCCTTTGACTCTGCATACACTTTCCTTTGACTCATACATTTTTCTTCATGATTTGCTGGCATTAGTTCCTCATTATGTTGAGGTTGGACACCTTCAGCTGCAGAAAATTCAGGCAACTGACAAAACGCAAACAGACTTACAGTAGGTTGGATGACCTTTGGACACAGTCCTAGCATGAGTTTGGTAGCTTTACAGGTAAAACTGCCTTAGTTTTTAATTTGTCGTCATATTTAAAAATGGCAAATGAAACTAAAAGCTCTGCTGTAACATAATGTTCCTCATGTCACCTGGACTGGAGCTGCGTAGAGCAGCAAAATGTCACACTGACCGGTAAGAGGTAGAGAGGTGGGCTGGCAGCCGGGTGCGAGTTGATGTAGAGTACCAGCACCGCAAAGGCCAGCAGCAGTACCACGGCTGACACCACCCCGGCGATTACGCCCGTGTGCACCGGCGCCCCCTGCTGTTCCGGAGGTCCCGGTTTCTGACCTGCAAGCGAGGGAGCCGTACATGAGCGAAGCGCGACTTGACGGCGAACGGCTGTGAACTCCGGTACGGCTCAGCGATTTAATGAACGTCACCGTTTACGTGAATAGGAGGCATGTCACAGAAGTCAGCTTCTGTCTTAAAAATCCCCTGACAGGCATGGTGAATGGATTATGGAGATAAAAGAGACCGACCACAGGGAAATTAAAGGATAATTTAAACAGCCCCCCAGACTTCTCACCCACCATCACAAAAGGCAGCAGGTGCATGAACACTAATCGTGGCAACAGCTATAAGAATGAGACACGTCAGACTAATTCGATTTGAATATAATGCTCCTTCTGTCACTAATTAAAAGACTTCATCTGCTTTGCACCATGTGTCCTCCTCTTGCATTAAACACCTTCTGTTGGACACTCATTACTCTAACATCATGGCTGTCCTACCATTGCTCTACTGCACTAAAAAGCACCGTTTGTTTTTTTTCCCCCAGATTGTCTGACTGGACTCATCATATGAAAGATTATCAGACAATAGACAGCACTCCGCTGCAGGGACGGATCTACCTTTTCAGAGGTTCTAGGCAAAGCTTTACTTAGGAGGCCCACCTACCAAGAAAACGTATGAACGTTTCACTGAAGCCCAAGGCAGCTGCTTTTCTGTCTGAATCTAGAGCCAGCTCTTCTCAATTGGCTGATTAAGTTAACACACTTGGAGTTTGAACATGATCGACGCAGTACAAATATAGCTATTTACAGGAATTACAATGTACAGATCAAAACAGCATGGAAATTTGAATAAAGACGTAGCTATAGCATTCATAATGACCCCATTAAGAACTAGACGTCAATGGAAGCTTCTTGACGAAAAGTCAAACACCCAACGTCCTTCACATTTATCTGATGTTTTTATCTAAAGAGACTTAACAGTATTCATGTGTGCATCAAATGATTCAGGCCCCGCATCCTTTGTATTGTTAGCAGAATGATCCTTTTGTGGAGCGAGAGGAACATTATCAGTCCTTACAGTCCCAGAACTGTAAGCCCGCCGGTAATATTGTTATCGTTCAACCTCTTAAATATCCTTGGGTAAGGCAGCCTGTCAAATGACAATGGCGTTGGCATAGCGAATTTGTTTGCCGGTGCTGGAGAAACGGGGCAGGGATGGACTGCAGACAGGAGAGCAGACATACAAACTGGGAAAATGAAAAATAAGAACTGGCACTGGTGACGATGACTACCAGCAAGCAGGAGACTGGGGATGTTTCTGGGTCAGTAAACTTGGCGGTGAAAAAGAATCAACGCAATACAATTGGTCATCTGACTCCACTTCTTTTTACAGATTTAGTCTGTGATCTAAATGTAACTCGCTAACCATCTGCATGAACGAAGCACCGACACAAAGCAGAGTTTGGCGGCTATAAGACACAACGGAATCTATAAATCACTGGGCACATTTACACCACACAAACATCACAATCCTACATCGTATCCGTTTATCTAATCATTAAATTATTTGTTCCTGCCTTGTGCATTATGCATTATTCCAAACGACTCCAAAGAAAAAACAACAGATGTACTGCCGTTCACATCCAAATGCTAAAAGTCCATTTCGGTCCGCTGAAAGTCGTCTATTAAACGTGTTTAAACAAAGCATTCATCGGAGTCCCATTCCTGATATAGTTGGACAAAATCATCTGATGAAAGAAGCCTATGCTCCAACAGCTGTCCGTAGCCTATAACGGCACTGCAGTGTGCAATTATGCAAGAACGGAGTTTATGAAATACGGCGTCTATTTGTTTTATTACATAACCTGTATTTACAATTATTTATGATGCATTCTTTTTTTGAACTATCAAAAATTACTGCATTAATATTTCGTATGGGGTTTCTTCTTTTTAGGACAAAGGCAAGAGCTACAGAATTGGACTGTATATAAAAAAGGCTCTCAAACACACCCGGCGATGACTCATAAAGTCTCTCTGTCTTGTTCTCCTTAGTGGTATCTTTGCACGTCTGCTATAGATTTAAGATTCATTTGTGATTGTCATCCCTCTCCCTGAATAGGGTTTGCAACAATTAGATGGACAGTAAATAGCTTGGGACAAAAACACGCCATCCATCATAATTGAGCTCATAGACATTAACATGCTGGCAGAGGAGAAATGTTCATGTTAAATGGGTATATAAAGCTTTCATTGTACTTCTCCATTCTGTGCATATGACAGAACGCTATAATGTTTGACTGATTCAATCACAAGCAGCATATTACATAGGGGCAACAGAAAACTTGATTTCATATACCCCTGAACATTATGCACAGATTATGGAGGAATTGGCAGAGTTCTTGCAACATAAATAAATTTTTAGCTATTAGTAGGGATTAAATGAGATGTGGTTTTTTTAAACATGGAAGGGTGAACAGCTGTTTTACATTTCAAACACCACTCCAGGTGAAAAGACTTCAGTCGGAAAACCGGGAACTGACGACAATAAGAGCTGGGCTCCTCTTTGACTCAGGAGATCTTCAAATGTCTTACCGCAGACACATTCACACACACACACACACACACACACACACAGACACATGCCGGGTAAACATATCCTTATGGGGACTGCTCATTCATTTCTATGGGAAAAATGCTAACGCACATTGTGTCCCCATAAGGACAGGTATACCCACTCGCACACACACAGGTTTGTAATTATATCTTTGTGGGGACTCTCCATTCATTTCTATATGGAAAACTCTAATTGCAACATGACAACATTAACCCCTACCCTTAGTTTCTTGATTGCATTCACAGATTTTTGTGGGGACCTGAAAAATGGTCCCCATAATATCAAAATAACAGGTTTTTATCACAATGTAATATAAAAATAATGCACACACACCGCACATGACTAGAATCCAAATAGCTTGAATCTACTCAAACTCACACCCATGCTAGTCATTAAACTGGGAAATGTGTTTTAATTTGTGTTTATATTGTTAGGGAAATGCCTAATTAAAGCATTATACCACAGTGGGAGCTTGTTTCAGTTGCTGATGAAACTCACCGTTGCCACTGTAACGAATGAGGTGTTTCGTATCATCTGTGGACGTAAATAAAACAGGTTATTTATGCGTCGGATGCTCAATGTATTTTAGAAAGCAATTTATTTAAAACAACTTAAGCGTGCTTTATATACATATGTTAACAATTCTGTCTACTTACGCAACTGTGTTTTACAGATTATCAGTAGTTACACTAAATAAAATAAGTGCTATCACTCGAATACCAAAAAGCCATAAATCTGAACAAATTCAAATTTTGATGGCACCCTGTAAATTATTACATTAGTTATGAAAGATTCCCTTACTGGAGACTGCTATTTGCCCAACTTCAAAGATTTCTCCCTTAAAAAGATGCATTTTAAAAAACCTCTTGTGTTTTTAGTGATCCTCAGTAATTATGCATGCACAGAAATTCCTGGGGCCCTAATACCATAACAGAAGCTAGTTTTCACAGTATGCCTGCTGACTGCGGGCGGGAGAGAACACATATAACAGGAGGAATAGCAGTGGTGTTGTAAAGGCACTTCAGCTATACTTTAATTTGAAGAAGATTTTGCATAATGGTGGCAGCAGTGCCACTGGATATAAATGGGCTGGACTAGCTTCAGACGGACAGACCCCACCTTCTGTCACAGGGCCCTCAGGAAAGGCCCCGTGAGTGGGCGTGGCCCCGGGGCCCGAGGGGCTAAGGCCTTCTGGTAAATCATCCTCCCCGTCCATGCTGTAGTCCTGGCAGGTGAGGTCTTCAGCCTTCTGAGGAGCACCAAAGATGTTACCCCTGAGAGCAGCTGTGGTGGCCCTAAATGAGACACCTTGGCTTCCTACCTCGTTCGAACAGGCATGATCCAGCCACTCCTGTCTGTGTCGGTCTATTCCATCTGAGCACCTAAGAAAAACGCGTGCACATGAATGTGAATTTGGCCCCGCCCCCTCTTCTGCAAGATTCCAGCTCCCTGCATGCATGAGCGCTGACCCGCCTACTGATGTCATCAGACCGCTGCCGACATGCACTGCGGACATTCAACACGCTGAGATCCCAGAAGGACACGCTTTCTGTTGATAAACCTGTCTTTCCTTCACCACCGAGGTTTTGCACGCGTCTTGAATTCACGGTCCTTCACGTCCTGGTAAGTTTACACAGCATTGGATATATGTGGATGAGCTCATTGATTCTAGACAGGTCCATTGAGATGGTAACAATACCCCTTGGAGTCAAGTCAGGCATTAGATTGATTCCCCCAAGATAAAGACTCTGGGGTTCCCACAAAGTGGACTCGCCCCTCCTTGTGCTGGGAAGTGGCGTAATTGCATTTGTCCAAAGCGGGTTTGATTGCCGGTGAGAGTAGACATAAACCCCGTCACTGCGTGCAGTTACACTGTCTACTTTACGTCTCCATCATGACCGAAAAAAACCATATGAGCAAGACCAGAAGGGTCCTGGAAGTCCTCCAGACCATTGTCGACATCCCTCGTATCCCTGGCTTTCCTTATGACAGGAACCATCTCAAGGACAAATCAATGCATCTTTATGGCACTTTTATGGGGCAAGGAATTATAGCCTAGATGATGATTCATTAAGGGACGAATTCCATCCAGAATAAAAAGTCACATTAACCAGTGATTTTACGAGGACAGTGTCCCACATTGGTTCTACCCTTCTGATTTTCAGAAAGATTTCAGCCTCATCAAGTGCCATTTCTCTTCTGATTTGTTTTGGAGGCCCACGGAGAGCACCTCTGGTCCATTCTGGATTCCAATCACCAGTTTCCCATGAATTTCTTTGCTGACTGGGATCCATTTCAAACTGCCAGCCACTGGCAGTTATCCACACGCCAGGAAACAGGACATGAAAATGCAGTTCATTTGTGTTGCTTATAAAAACAGAATTATGCATCATTTTGCACAGATACCAACCACTGTAAACAGGAGATAATTAAATGCATTTCTCCTTTAAGAAGACCCAAACAGATTAAACAGTTTAAGTGTACCAGGATATTTTAACTGGGGCATGAAACACTTCAGCTGCATGGATTCACAGGCGAGAAACAACTATTTTTTGCTTGACTATGCAACTTGGCACAGGTCTGAAACTAGTTGGAGACCAGCTCCTAATCAAAGAAAGCCTGCGAAGTCTGAGCTTTTTATTGGAACATAAATAATACTTTACAACACTGTATTTGAATCTCTGATTTCCCGTTTGTAAACAGACTACTTTTGTTCATAAACAAAACAGTTGCTAAAAACGATTTTAAAAGCCAATCAAAGCAGTTCTATCAAGTCCAAATGCTGGTATTTTTAACAGAAGGTCAGAGTGTTCCTGGTCAGATAGTCACAGCAAACTGCTGTCCTCATATAAGACTTTTTGGACCATTTATTTCAAAGGTTGATTGGGTTCCTGAAATAATGCTTATATCTGAATTACTCATTGTGGAGGGAACAGGCTATTCCACTGTGCATAAGAGAGCTTAAAAAAATATTAGACAAATGTGGAAGGACAGTTCTGTCCATGCTGATTCAAAGCTTTCCATGGTGATGAGAAGGAACTGTGTCCTCACACACCATGGTGATATCTATGGTGCAGGAAGTATCCTTCTCTGATGACAAGATTGACCTTTTCACTGAGCAGGAAAATGCACGGCTTCCAAATTTCATTTTCCAAACTTCAGAAACAATGAAAGCGTTACTTATCATATTCGGACGCAGGTCTCTCAAATTCTCCCACATAGCCCATCGGTGTCAGATAACACGATACGTAAGACATGAGAAAATGCCCTGTTACTGCCAGGCACACCCCTCTACTGACCTCTGCAGTACGTTGCACCAGCTGCAACCGGACGTCAAGTTTGAAGTGAGGCAGAGCTCACAGGTCTCGTGTTGGAGGCAAGCTAAGGGAGGGAAAAAAAAAGCTGACCCTGACTGAACAGCCGATTGGCTGCTAGGCCTGACATGACAGAATGCAGCAAACTCAGTGGTGGAGATGTCCGAGTGTTGATTGGCCGACAATTATAGACACTATACTCACTGGGCAGTGGGGTGAACTCAAAGGCCGTGTGATTGGCTATCTTCGTGGTGTCAACCTCCACTCGGTGATACTCGTATATTGTCCTGCGATGGGCACCTGTTGGAGGTAAGGATCATGCACTGACAGCACGTTGCTGCACCAACCACATGACAAACCACCTCAGAGATAAGAACCCTCAGAACTACAGTAGTCCAAATGGACCAGTGGGAGTTTTTTTTTCCCCGGTGGCTGGAGTGCCGATCCTGCCACCGACCTCCAAATTCTCCTGTAAGTTGGAGGAGCTCCTTACAGAGCTGGATGTAGATTAACGTCATACCCAGGACCAAGCCGTTGCAGGTTAAGGGCCTTGCTCAAGAGCCCAACAGAGTAGAATCACTCTTGGCATTCACAGGATTCAAACCAGCAACCTTCCGGTTGCTGGCACCGATCCCTAGCCTCAGAGTCACCACTCTGCCTGCACCTGTTGATCATCCAAAAATTTGGTGCAATTCTTATCCTCTATACTTATTTTAGTATTTGGCATGCTCACTGTTTAGTATAAAAGTATAGTATAGTACAAAATTTCTGGTCACGTAAAAGTAATCACCAATTAACAAAAAGACAAATTAGTGTGGTCGAGATGACGCCCCCTTTTGACTGACCTGGGGTCTGTTGAGAGGGAAGAAGAGCCATGAATGCATCTGACAGGCCAACTTTCACAGGGTGCAGAGTGGAACTGATCACCTCCACCGGTAATGGAACCTGGATTGACATGAACATTTCAGGAATTTGCCCAGACATCACCAACATTTCAGAAACCTGTCACACTGGTGTGGAAACAGCCTTTGTATTACTTAAGCCAGACAGAGGGTGACACAGAGTGATATTATATTCTCTTCTTATCTAGTCTTTCATTTGCCCTTCCTGTCACACCATGCGCAAAAAATTGCACTCTACAGGAAAGTTTTTAACAAGCACTAATTAGGTGTCATTTTAATTATCTACTTCTGCGTATGATCTGTCTAAAGGATCCCACCAGTTCATTATTCAAGTAAAACTAATTCTGTACAATGATGCTACTTACCTTGTTTCATACAGTGCTGCTTAATACTGACAGACGATTGTCTGGTTTTGTCATTATCTTTGTTTTTTCTTTCGGATTTTGATAATTCCTCTCAATCTTATTATTCAAATTTACTTAAAATTTACTACACAAAATAGTTGTAGTGTATTGTTCATTAGAGCGATTTGTTTTTAGAAATTTGTTGCCGTGCTAGTAAAGCCTTTTCTATTGAACTGAATCGAGAGAGAGAGATAATGGTGAGATTTTGAGGGAGGGAGAGAGAGAGGACAGTGGTTTTGAGGGAGGGAGAGAGAGAGCAGGACCTGATGCCAGTAAGCAATGAGATCGGCTCACGTCTCTGTAGTTGAAGACGATGGCCCCGGAATGATGAAGGACAGTCTGGAATGTGAAGGCCCCATCATGCTCCCGGCCTTGGAGACGCACCCTATCCCACTGTACCACAAACACCTTTCCTGTGGGGGTGGTTCGGGGGCAAGTTCAACATGCTGTTGAATTATGTGGTCACATGACACGGTCTCCATCACCTACTGTCCACCTACCGTTGTCCATGTATTGCACTGTAGACTCCCTGGAGAAGCTTGGGTCAAAGTTGGCCATGAGCGGAGCGATGTACTGAGTGGCGGTGAGGACGCGGTGCACCACGTCGCCCGTGAAGATGAACCCTAGAAGAGGTCAGACGTCAGGGCCGAGGACGTCACGCTTCCCCTGGGTCCCGTCACTCCGCAGCTGCATCAATACGTCATTCCCCGAAAGTGAGGAAGATCTCAGAGCGAGCCAGAAGGCTGGGTAGCAGGACAGACCGTCTGCTTTAAGCATGGGCCGAGGAGATCAGGCAGTAGGACAGATTCGGTGTGAGGGCACGGGATCGATCCCTGCGCCCTATCTACTCACTTTATCTACCTGTCCCTGAGCTGGACTGATAGCCAACAAAGAAATCATTACGGTGAAGAGAGCAGAGGGCCGACTGCCGGTGCCACAAACATCACACATACACAAGTAGAATTCCTACAAATGACTCAACATGAACCTGTTGCTTTAATAGTTACATCCTCGCATATAGTTACAGCGTGTTGATTACATCAGCCGGCAAGTACGACTAAGACAATCTAACCGGAACTAAAAATGGTCTACGCTGCAATTGTAGCACAAGATCTTCACAATGTTCCTCGGGAACACGTGTGACAATAAAGCTTGAAGCGTGGAACTAAATCTGGCTGTTACAGTGACAACAGAGATTCGAGTAAATCGGGGACATAAAAGCATGAGGATAAACCAAAATGGATCCGAGACCAAGCGCTACAAGCCTAAAAAAAAAAACGGATGATCTTCACATTAGCGGATGTCAATATGTGTGAAATTAAATTTTGCTAAAAGACTGAAACGAGGCACAAAGAGGCAAAATGCTAGCAAACTGGAAAGGTTTTTTTCAATAATTTATTCATTCATTCATTGTTACTGATGCAGTGTAATGCTTTATGTGACCACGGAGAAATTACCACTAATTAGACTGGGTCCCATTAAAAATAAAATGCAAAACTACTTAGGCATGCTGACTATGAGAAATAGTACAAGTGCAGTCCTCAGTATTTCTAGTATGGTTTTGTGCTTTATCTCTTTTCCAAAAATGGAATATATACAATATGGTGAATTTACTGATTACCAAGGAAAGACTACAGGCACCAAGAGGTGAAAGGAGATATCATCACAGCACCAGTCTGTCTGAGGGCCTGTTTGCATAGCGAAGCGTCCTACCTCCGGTTGCTATGGTGATCTGCCTCAGGTAATGGCCGTAGAAGGGGAAATCAAAGGAGAGGGCCACCCGCTGGAGGGAGGGAGAGAGAGAAGGAGAGAGAGAGGCCGGTGTTTGGCTCTGTGTGACTACAGGTCAAGTAAGTTGCCACCACAAGGTTATACATGTGATTTATTAATTACCAAGCCCATGAAAAGGTTTATTAATCTTGGCACCAGAACAAATTGGTGAAAACATATTAAATGTGTCAGCTGACTGTCATGAATTACTAGTTAAAAAGCCCTAATTAAGTATTATCATCTGAATGGCATGATATTGATTAATACAGAACATATGACCCGTTCAGGCCTAGAGGGGACGTCCTTCTGATTCATTATCTCTTTTTAGATGTTCTTCTGCTTTAAGTTAAGAAACTCAAAGTGCCAGAACCTCCCAAAACATTCCCCTCCTTATCGCCTTTCATCTGTGTCTTAGGATCGTTGGGGCGGAATCAGCATCCATCTGATGTATTGAGAAGAAGATCATAAGGAATAGATTATGAGCAGAGCGGAGCGTTCGGCTAGCTGCTGGAGCCTGGCCGCGTTTCTGGGTCTCACCGCAGCCTGACGGTGCGTGTTGGACAGGATCCCGTGCATTCGGACTTGGCTGAGCCGCGGGTCATTCAGATCCACCCAGAGATCTTCTGTGTGCTTGTCAGCCGGCCCAAAACTTCGCCATGTGTAATACCGATGAGAGTCCTCCTGAGGCGGAAAAATGCGTAGTTGAATGTAGCGTTTTGTACCATAATTGACCATGATATTTTTACCGTAATTTTCTCTTAGAATAAAATCAATCAGCCAACCAACAAACCAACCAACCCACCAAATCCAGACAGACAGATCTACCTACCTACCTACCATGCCAAAGCTACCCAGAGGTCATATTCCTGTATTTCATTCCTCACAAGAATAACCCTAGGAAGTTCTTCAAAGCCTTAGTGAGCCACAGCCTTTCCAATCATATGCATAGATGCTCTTCAGACAGCAGGTGCATCATGGTCCTTCCAGACAGAGCGAAAGTATCAAGCTCACTTCAGCTATAGAGTGTGATTCCCCAAAAGTCTTTCCTTAATGCAGCCGGAATGGCCAAACACAAACTGAATTTCAATCCATTAAACAAGCGTGTTCATTGCAGCTAGTTACCAATCAGGCTCGCACATGTGAATTGACAAAAGGTTAAGACTGATTGAATTTATGAAGAGTGTTTGCAAAACACATCCTATTGTGAAGGCAGGAGATCCAGACACAAGACAGAATGTTCTGGAGCAGATTTGGGGCCATTCCAGAATGCATTCATCAATTCCCATCCAAATCAGGAAATGGAACTGGAGTTAGGATTGGAAAAAAACTATGGGGAACAGAATTGGAACTGAATTTGAATTTCAGGGAGATTTAAGTTCCAACTCCAGTTCCATCTCCCGATTTGGATTGGAATTGATGAATGCATTCCGGAATGCCCCCAACCCTGATCCAGAGCACGGCTGTCTCTATGGTCGCCAGACATTGACATTCACTTGATGGAATATATTAATAATAAAAACGAGATTCATTTACCTAGATTTTGGTATATAACTCTTCTATATAAATGTATGTCAGCTACACCTGTTACTTCATCATGAAACTTAGCTAACATTAAGAAACACAGGAAACACATTTTTCCCCTCATTTACCGGACAGTTGAAATGTTTAGCACTGGTCTCAATCATCTTTCATACAGTTAGATTTTTTATATTATTATTGTGGCTTCACCATGAGCTACTAACCCACAGCAGGGGCTGTAAAACACCACGGCCTTGGCGCACATTTCGGGCACATTTCACAGAGGCTGGAGGGTCCTGCGCGCCTGTGTTTGCGTGGGCGCGCAAGTCATGGAGACGGGGGTCCCCGATGGCGGGAAGTCTGACTCACGACGGCCCGAGGACGCTCTCACAGGCTGGGGCAGGAGGCCAGGCTGTGGGGTGAGGGGAACGGACTGAGCCCAGAGGGAAAGGGATTACCCGGCAGGGCTGGGCCCCGGCCCAGCAACTCATCTGTAACCAATGGGATGACCGTCAGAAAGTGAAGAAATGATAAACTGGTGGTGAGTCAGACGGCATGTGAGAACAATCTGACCCCAACACGGCATTAGAGGTGCAGAGGGCTCCTTCCAGACCCCATCCAGCCATGACAATGTGAGTTGGTACAATGCTCACTAATGACTCTTGAAGCCGATGCACCTCAGATTTATCAGGTACCACTCTCTAGACTAAGGTTCCTTTTGCACTTAAAACAACAGCATTCAGGTCACAAACTCCTGCCTTTACCCTGGTAGTTTATAGCTGCAGCATATTACAATGCCATAAACAGCTGTTGTTGTGTGACATCCATAGATAATTCGAGACCCTATTTAGGGGGGCTTCAGCCCCCCTGAAAAATAATTATTCTAAAACCATTTAGCCATTTGTCCCGTATTTTCATGCACATTTTGTAACCACTGCTCGCCAAATTTAATCGCCCTTGGCGACAACAAACACCAACATACAACAATAGCTTTATGGCAATATCACTCCCCGTATACATAATGCCTAAATAATTCTGGCGTTGCCAGGTAACCCAGCATCAGCTAATGCACTCAACAGATTCTTGTCCAGAGTGCTATAATGATCACTCTCTCCAAAAAGCAAAAGGTAATGATGATTGGAATTTGAATGGCGTGCAGTGGAATTGGCGACCATCGCAGCGCCTCGATGCTTCTGGGAAACGTAGCTTTCTGCCTCCAGTGAGACATCTGCTGAGAGGTGAACCTGCAGGCCGCTGAGACAGTGTCTGGAGGCGTCGCTCAGGACTCATTGGCTGAATGCAGGTTTGCATGTCTATGTGATTAGCCTTGAAGCATTCGTTACTAAGTAACTTCAGAACCACATTAAACATCAGTACTTCTTTTTCAAATTCCAGAGAAAACCAAAGGACAGTTGCTTGCTCACACACACACACACACACACACACACACACACACATTTTTCTTCATATCTTTGTAGGGACATCACCCTAATCCCAACAATGACAACCTAAACCCCTATCCAGCCCTCACCTTAACCATAAGTAACCAAACAAAATACAAGACTTACATTTTTAGTTTTTTATTGCATTCAACTGCCTGAAAAAATGGCTCCACAGTGTCAAAATAGCAGGTTTTTATTACATTGTGGTGGACATTTGGTCCCCACAATGTAATATAAACATGATCCCCACACACACACATCTGTTAGAGACACACTCCAGCTCTGCTCACCACAATGTGAGTCATATTGTTCGGCAGAGTGTCGATGTCCAAGCCGGCCCCAAGCATCTCTGTTCTTGCCCATCCTGGCTCAGCTAGGAGACCCGGGATACTGCGAGTCCTGCGGGGGGAAACCGAGGTCCTGGCCCTCCCTGCAGGGGGAGCGGGCCGCAGACCTAGACAGAGCAGACATCAGACGTCAGCAATAGCTGTGGAAGCACCCGGCCGAAAATGTTTTCAATTGACATGACATTGAGAAGTCAAGTGAGACCCATTATAGAAACAAGTCTGAGACACATGTGGAAGTGTGGGAAAGAGTGATTTTACACTCTTCTGGGAGGAAAACATGCACAGGATTGGGTGGGATATTAAGTTCTGATGGGATCGATGTTGCAGATTAACAGATTCGCGTATTAACTTAATATGATCCCATCATATGACTTCATCTGAGTGTAAAACCACAGTCACGGCAAAATTAAACAACTTTATCTGTCGTCTCTGTAATAAAACGCTTCTGTTGCTTTATTGGGCCATATTTTTAATACCAAACCATCTCAATGTAGCTTTTGAAGTACGAGATTGTGCTGACAATGCAAAGGTCACGAGTTCAAATTACAGGGAGCGCACATGAATAGTAACTCTCTCTCTACTGGAAGTCACTTTGGATAAAAGTGTCAGATAAATGAATAAATGTAAATTAATCAAATTGTATCAGAAGATTAACAAATAGAATCAGATTAATAAGTCTGGTGGCCTAAATTTGCAACCATGCAGCAAGATGCCAGCCGTTTCACTGGTATGTCTGGAAACTGAGTGCACACATAAACAATAAACAATATATTTCTCGCCAATGTTTTGGTGCCATTTACATTACTTAGTATTTTTTTTTTACATTCTTTAAACCTTGATTCCCAATTCATTATAATGTTCAAGGAGTTGAAACAGAGTTCAGACATTCATTAATGAAATATTTGCTGGCATCAGAGAGAATATTTGGCATGATAGTATTTTGGCTTTAGTACAGAAAGCTCAAACCCAAGAAGGAACTGATTTAGTGGATCTTTTTTGAGACGTGGTTTTGATTACTCTCTCGTTATCACTTTCTTATACGTTCAGACACATCCATTCACACGTGGACATATACGAGCACCAGTAGAAACGGACATTCGACACGCCAAAACAAGCGGATAAACAATGAACTGAATGACAGATCCACTGGAATAATTGTTGGCCACGTTTCCGCAGTTTCCTGCTAAAATTTTTTAGAAGGAAGACCAAAACAAACAAGAGCCAGAAAAAAAGTGTTCTGAAGAATTACCTTTGAAATTTTTCCAGGGAATCTCCCTGTGGGATTTTCTCCATTGGTTGCCCAAAACCACTGGATTAGTGACAATGGCACCAGCCACCTTTTCCCTGCCTCACCTGAGGGGACCTGGCATTGAGATCAAGCCTCCCAAACCTAGTTTCTCACATGCTTTTGCAACAAACTTAGTGGAATGAGTCCGTTTCTGCTGTCATTTCCGTCTCTGGTCGTCACCTTGCCGTGATTAAATTGAACATGTGTTACGTCTTAAAACAGATGAAAGTTAGAACAAAAGTGCATCAGGTTCCTTCATTCTCCCTTCCAGCCTTGCCAAATGTATGGAAATCTCAGCGTTCTTACATCTATAAATCTTCCCCTAACATTTTCCCTACAAAATGAGAGCAGGATACCATAAACTGAGGAGGACAAACTAGCGTGACAGCTGGGACTGATATGAAATAAATAGTTCATCTGAAAACATTGTGCATAGATCTCATTAAGCGATAGATCACTGGTTCGCGTTTCCAATAAGGACCAAGAATATACAAACCATAAACAATGATGTGTGGGGGTGGATAGTCCTGAAAGTAGCAACGTCCCGATATCAACACGTAAACATACAGAAAGAGAGGCGGGGGCATAGCAAAGCGTGTCATAGTACAGAAAAGCGATTTGTCATCAGTGCTTGAAGTGCGCCAGTACGCAGACCAGTACCACTTAGTTTTTTTCCCTTCAGAGTACTGGCACCTCTCAGTACCTGCTGGTACTAAATAACAGGGGAGTACCAGCACCTGTTTTTTTCCACACTTCAAGTACTATTTATAATACTGACAAACTCCAAGCACATAGAGCGATGGGAGGACACAAAGGCCCTAAGCATGGATCGTAATACCTTAACACCCAGTGAAACAACACAATATTCATATTGGCACATAAGCAAAAAAAATATTGAGAAAACTATCCCTCCATCGTCCATCCACACCGTTTATTCAATACAGGATAACTGCCATAAAAAAAAAATCATACAAGAAAAATACACGTTTCCGGAGCCTCACGTAATTACGTACCGATCCGGTTAATGGTTTTATTTTCTTTTCCATATTAACGTTTAAGCATTAACTTAACTGAATTAACTTGAATTTTAGTGTGCATCCCTCCTACACGTTCTTCCCCCGTCTACACAGACATTATTAAATAATAAAGTAGCTGCAACAAATTGCAGACCGCAGTTTGAAGAGGTGCACCTATTATTTGTTTTACGGTGCATAAAAAATGTGACGTCACGTCGGCTATAAAAGCGCAAGCTCGCCGCCGGATATTTGGCAGAGTGCTTCGTCTAACCCTAAATTTTGGTCGCTTTCTATACAGATGTTTGCTGTTTTGTCTCTAGCTTTCAGTAAACTATAGAAAGACGAAACGCCGTTGCCGAAAAGGTGGGAAAAAAGTCTAGAGGCTACTCTGCCAAGCTCAATCTCCTAAGTAATGCGTCTGGCCGTGGTCAGCTTGGCTGCCGCGAAGAGTTCGTCTCTGTTGCTCCGCGTTTATTTCCGGGAGATCTTAAAAAATTGAGCAGATTAAACTGAACCTGGCTTTGCTTTGAGGGTCTTTGATCGTGGGCCTCCAAGAAAGCCGGCGTTCAAACATTTATATAGTTATATGCTTACCGTGTTGGTGAAGGTTTCCTTCCATTCATTTTTTCCTGAAAGTTAACTTACACTTGTTTTGCATCAGCAGGAGTCTCCGTGTTATCTAAAACTGTATGATGCATAACCGCCTGGAAACCCTGAGTGTGAGTTTTAAAAAAGCGCCAAATTTAAAGATGTCGGTTTCCTGGCTTGTCGAATGGTTGTAAGACTTAAAGCTTGGCAACGTTTCTAATGCTGTCGTCTTTATGCTCTTTTTTTAAATCGAATCGCACCGGTTTCTTTTGCAGCCCTTACCACTGTTATGGCCCGTTCCTAAATAAACTTGATAAATCCAAGGTCTTTTCTTTGAGTCCCCTAATTATACGTGTACTGGTGCGATTTAACGGTCGAATAGCAAACTGTGAGCTGTTTGTCTTGTCGTCAATTTGGAAAAAACGTTAAAAACGTGAAACCCTTTAATTGAAGCTGCCGGATGGCTTGGCTTAGCCGTATTGGGAACGTGAGCATACCTTGTGGTTCACGGAAATGGGCGAATAAACAAGCGCACAATGGACATTTTGAGAGAATGCTGGTTTGCAGAGGCCAGCCCTGTTTTGTTTTAAAGCCCGCGTTGAGAAAGGATGAACTGCGAAAAACGGAGGCCTCTCTTTAGTCTGCAGAGAAGGCCGATGAAACGTGAGGTGTCTACAGTTTTAGCAAAATGCTTTTCAACGCAAGCTTGATTCCAGACTTGCATTTAGATTGTGAAATGTATCTGTAAGCATTACAATTTCGACATGACAGTGTGCGTTTTGTAGCCGCAGTTGAGCACTGTCAGCTGCTGACATGGGAGGTAGAATGAGGATTATTGAAATTAACGTTTTCCATCAGGAATGGAAACAAAATGCACCCCTGAGATTCGCTGACCACTTGGACCAGCCGCATTCATGCTTTAGACTAATGAAATTGAGTTTTAGACTAAAGTGTGGTTCTTTGAAATGATGAAGGGTGAAAAGAATTGGCGGAGACAATTCCAGGATGCAAAAAGCCTGTTTGGTTTTGATTACATAGGAATACAGCAAGCGTGGGGGGTTATAAAAAGCTGTTAAGTGAGCAAAAGGCAACTTGTTAGTTTTGCTACATTAAGTTCAAATGAGTCTCTGTCTTTGGTTAAAGGAGATGTACTGTGATAGAGGATATTCAAGCCTGAGTTCTGTGTCATTCTTAAATCTGATGGGTGTCACCTTTGCAAGACTGTAGTGGTTTGAAAGTTACACAGGAATCCAAGGGAGAGTGAGCCTCTGGCTGTGGGCCTGTGTATCCTTCATGATTTCCCAAAGCAGCTGGTGTTAATCTGTATTCACTATCGTAAGTCACTATCAGGGTTGGAGTACAGCCAGGCTGAAGAGGCACAGCAAAATGGAAATAGGATGGGTGTGATGTCACTACGCAGTAACCAGTAGTATTGCAGCTTTGTTGTTTGAGTTGCAGTATTAACATAAACTGGACATATGTACATGTTCATGTCCGTGCCTGCAAAATGCATCCGTTGTATAAACTAACCCATGTATTACATTCAAGTAATATAAACCATGTTTATAAGTAGATTTTGATCTTTATTACTACATGATCTGACCTGATGGAGAGAAGCCTCAGATATTTGAGGTTTGGTCTCTTAAGGAGTATTTCAGATATGATTTCACAGAGCGGGTAGCCCTCTTACCCAGATCACTTTCATAATCACGTCGACAAGATTGTTAGCAACAACAGTTTATTATCTTCAGCATATCTATGGAAATGAACCAGCTAATTTGGCTTGTCTAACTGTAAAATGCCCCCTTAGTGGGCAACAGGTCAGGAGAATAATGAGAAATGTTGATGTAATCAAAGAGACAATGGGAGATAGTATCTTGACTCTAATTGGGTGCCTGTGTAGAGTGGGGGAGGAAAAAAGGGGTGAAGGATTTAGCTGAAGAGTAGATGAGGTGTCAGATGACAAAGCTTGTAGATTTATAGACTTGCTGTTCCTTTCCAAATGAACAAGAACCGCTTTCTGTAACAAATACAAATTAGTTGCCTGTTTTTTCTTCCAGAGGAAGACTTAAAAAAAGTCTTAATATGGAGGCTTAGAAAAATCACAAACTGGGAGGGACCCAGTAAAGTAATTTCTAAACCAAATGTTTGTCCGTTCATCCTACTGCTGCTGCTATTCACTCCTCGAGCAGCACAGCGAGAGAGACTTTGGGGGGAGGATAAGGGAAAGAATCAAGATCTCCCCAACACAAGGAGGTGCAGAAATAATGATGAGGACTAAACAGGAGACACCGGAAAATGAGCTCCATGCACGGCGGTCACCTGGTGGGTGTGGGTGTCCGCCCCAGTTCTTAAGCACTGTTTTCCTGAGACTTTTGAATTTCAGCTGTGGTGAAAAGACTCTAAAAGTTTTCTATACGTGGGCAGGAGCGAGGGCGTCCGCTGCATAAATAGACTGGAACTGGAGGCGGAGAAAGCAAATGAAAACTGTGGCCTGGTCAGCATGGAATGCGCCATTTGGGCAACATCTACTCTGTCGAGGGGTCACTGCAGTGCCCAGCTGCTAGCCCACGTGCTAATCATAAATGATATATATAAACCTCACACCAGAGTGACTTGTTTGCCACGCGTCATGTCTGGCAAGGCGGTCTATGGATGGGCTAGACAGGAAGTAAGTCACAAACAAAGAACCGAACTGGAAATTAAGAACGGGAAAAGAGGGTCATGCGTGCTTGCGACTACCTTCGAGCACACGAGTATTTTAGAAATGAAAAGAGATATATTTAAATATAGTGAGTTGTCCTAGAATGACTCTGAACCATATATTTTTTTGCAGTGAGCATTGGTTGTGAGGGACAAGCCCTTCTGGGGCTGACGAGGTCAAGGCTGGCACCAGAACACCACCACAAAGGCTGCAGCATGACGCAACGAGGGTGAAAGTCTACCGCCTCAAACGCAGAGGCCAAGTGGACCTTGGCACGCTCTCGCAATAGGGTCTTGAGGTGACTGGGAACTGCAGCCTGTACTGGCCAAAGGCATCATGAAGAGTGTCAGCATGATGAGATTGCCTGGTTGGGCCCTGCCCTATGGCACGGGTCACTCCCGCGCTGATTTCCTTTCCCTATTAAGCTTAACGAAAGTCTTCGCGGTTAGCTAACTGCTTTTCTCATCGACTCCTGCCACTTTTCTTACACAATATATTTAGTTCCCATGTACTGTTACAAACTCAGATGTATCAGCGCACCTTTCTGGTCTTGCCTCTTGGATGACTTCCTGCTGGCTCAATCTCTCTGGCACATTGTATTTAATCAGCAGGCTTCCCGTTGGTCCAGAATAACATATAATTTTTTTATGTGAAGGATTCAAGGAAATCACCCCCACCCTGCTGCAGCCCAAGGCCATGATGCCGGTGCTCTCCTGGTTGCCTTTTAGCAAATCTGGGGTAGATTGTACGCCAAAGGTGGGTTATAACGCACCTTCGTGGGACAGCAAATGACACGTTCATGAAGGATGTAGAATTGCCAACTGAAGGTTATTGGCTCAAGGCTGAGATTACTATTGTCACACTATTACCGTAATGCAGCTTAAATAAGTCCAGGAAAATGTCTGCTAATTAATGACTCTTTTATGCGGCATTTGTATATACAGTATGAGTGCAGAATGAATGTTGGTATGTGGGAATTCTTTGGTTTTTGCGCATCCCATCTTGCTCACCATGAGACACCCGACTCATGTGAGAATGACGCTTGGGGTCAGAGAGCAAGGTCAGCCATTTATCCAGTACCATAAGAGCCAGTTTATTTGGTTAATGGCCTTAATAAAGGGCACAACAATAATTACTCTGCCAGCCATGAGATTTAGACCAGAAACCTTCTGGACATGAGCATAGACTCCTAACCCAAACACACAGCCCCCAATGTAAATGATGTCAGCTAAGTGATGGAACGCAACTGCCACTCCCTCAATTTTGCTATTAAAAGGGCACATTTACTTTTAAAAGTCTAAATTTGTTTAGGAAGGAGTACACCCAAAACCACAAGAAGACATGCCGTAAGCTGCACGTCTGAAGCTCAGCTGTCTCGCATTCCCTGCATCTCGCATTAAAGCCAGGTGCCTCCTATTGCCGTCACTGGCACCCAAAGGAAGTAAACAGAGTAAAATCTATTCGACTGCTGCTGCAAAGACAATTGACCGACTGAGTAACGTAGCTCAGCACCTCAGATTTATAATTCAGATGAAACTGGTGAATCGGGGCTTGTGAAAATGTGCTTATTCATGTACAGAGGAGAGCTTTGCATGTTCGGACAGTTATGTGTCTCACCGCTGACTTAACTCAGCCATCCCGACATCTTCCCACGAGGGCCAGCGATTGTAGCATCTCTGGACTCCCTTCTCTCTGGAGTGTGTTGAGTTCCCAACTGCAAGGTTTCTGAAACTCGGTTGCATCTCATTTACATTTTTGTTTATTTTTATTTATATTTATTTATTTTAAGTGAGGCAGATATCACATCCAAACATACATGCTGTCAAGGAGTCAACTTACATATATACAGGCTGAGCTTCCAATGAATGCCCAGGTGCGTATTTAAGCAGTATGAGAGCAAGAGCTACACAACATCTTTCAAATGAAGCAAAAGCCTAATCTCACTGCTCCCTGCAGCCATGTTCTGCTGGCATTTTGAAAATGTAGCATGTTGAAGACGCTTAATTCTGAACCTGCATTGACTCTGCCTCAGAGTACTTCTTTTTTGCCAGGCTGACATGTGATTGGCTGATTTGTATTGGCTTGAATTCATTGACCGCTTGGCGCAGCTGCCTTGCGGCAGTCTATTAGCCGATTGTCCTGTCAGCTGATTGATCGAGCAATTATAAATCACAGGCTCCTAATAGTCTCCTGCATGATTTTGTGGTTTCGAGCTGAAACGCCCAAATTATCCAGAACCTTGGTTTGATCACTGACTTTCACAAACTCTCCGGACCTCCAGAGCGTGGTGGGTGGTGCAGGCTAGGGATCAGAAGATGGTGACATATGGCCGACAGTAATTGTGTGTATCCGCAAACGGAGCAGGGCGTGGGGGCAATCGGCAGGTTCGAAGCAGTGGGCGGAGAGGCACGCTGTGCCAGTTTCAACTTCCTTTGAAACCAGCCTTTATTTATATGTTTTTAAAATGCCGACACAGTGTCGACTTCGAAAGACAGAGGCGCCCTGGCACCGGGCCAGCCCATAAAACGCTGCGGTCTGAGCTAAGGAAACGCGACCCATCTTTTGCGTCGCTCATATTTTCTGCGAGAACATCTATTATGTTTTATTGTCATGACAACTAGTACGCGTTAAATGGTTCAAGGACTCAGTGAAGATGTTGCTGGGATACTGGCTAACAGTGTCCGTTCTGAGGGGGATAGGGACATACAATGGGTCTATTACCATTATGGTTATTAATTTTTTCTGTATCCACATAACCTTTTTCATAACTCACTGGGACATATGTAACCGAATGCTGAACTCTGAAGTCTAAGAATTTATATATAAATTATTTTTATTATTATTTTATTTTATTTTTTTCAAGCAACATTAGTGATCTAGTTTTGTACACCCAATTGCTAACTCTCATACTCTGGATAAAGCATTCATAGTTCCAAATATTTGGGCGTTTGCCAATTCCTCCATAGTTCGAAGCGAAACAGAAAATTAGCCCTGATTGGATTATGTTGTGTAACAGCAGAACTAAATGGATTTTCTTTCACAGCGATCAGGATTATTGATCATCCTAAACCCAGCTGGAGAATCTATGAGGAATTTGAGGGTGGAGCAGGGGGGTGATGTGTCTTTAAGTGTGTCATTAATGAAATAAACTTTCATCAGACGACCGAATTTGCGTTGCTTAGAGCGGAACTTTCAGCAGTGCGCGGTAAATAAAAGCAGATGTTCGAATGGGGTTGGGCGAAAATGCTAACGTACAGCCACACGGGGAACTTTATACAAAACAACCACTGACAGGAGGACTGAGCGGAGCCATCTGAAAAGCTGCTCCCTCTAAATGATGTGCGCAGCTCATGGTCACTACAATCCTTGCAGAATGTTAAGCGGGCTTTGTAGACACTGCTTTGGTTTCGGGATACCCGTCCGGATCAAAGTCAAAGGGTGCGGCAATGTGACCAGTAGGTAATGGATGGCAGTGGTAGAGTCTCTCACTTTATAACTAAAAGGTCGTCAGTTTAAATCCCCAAAAAGACCCATATTTTTGGTGCATTACCATAGTTGACTTCAAGCCTGAAAGATCCAAAACTGACTATGAATATTTCTGTGTTTTTACCCAGGACAGCTTACATGCTGTATTTGCAGGCTGAGATCCCACCCCATGCCAAGCAAATGTCTGCCTTGTCATGTGCTGCCAATAGACTCTGGTCATAAATCCGATTCCTTAAATGAACCTTTATACCTCATTGCGGCCCTAGTTAAAAAAAAAAAAAAAAATTGCGGAAAAATCATTTAGCCAAATTAAAGACATAACTCAAAATATAAGTCATGGGGATGCCACGATGCTCGATGGGATGGAAAAGATGACTTTGTGTGACCGTGTTTGACAACGATGACAGCGACTGGGGAGACGACGGCGCGGAACCGAATCCCCGCGGTAACCCTGTGCAAACTCGCTGTCATCTGTGATACGTGTTAATGTGGAAGTTATGTGGGATTATTACTGACGGGAGGCCTGTGAGTGCGGGAAGCGAGTGATGGGCCTTGTTCATGTTCCTCAAGCTGCCCCCAACATCCCTGTTCCACGGAGCAGCTATTTGGCATCGGGGCAAGGGGGGGGGGAGGGTCAGGCATGTTCCTCCCTATAAATTTGGGGCGTCTGGCACTTATAAAAAAATGTAAGGTTATTTTTCATTAGTTAATGTCTGGGCAATGAGGTCACTACAGTGAGGACACCGATCTATATTCATTTCTGCTCTTTGTCTCCCAACGGCCAATGGTTGACTAGCCAAATAGATGTTTATTTTAAACAGACGATTGCAGTTTATATATATATATATATTGTATTATGATAAACAATTTTGTTCCAAATTTCTCAATCCATGCCCGAATGTGTAGGTCAGACTTAGTTGCCATGAATCCCATTTTGCATGGTGGAAAAGAGCTGAGTCTTAAGTCTAGAAGGATGCTCCTTATGCTGGCTGCCATTACACCACAAGAACCGTCAAAATCTGGCCACCTGCAGAGCAGACACGCCCTTTAGAAGATGGACAGTGCTACTACCGGTCTTGCTGTGCTCCACTCTCCTAATGCCTGATATGCTGCTAAACCTCATTTCCTTCCTCAGAATTCATTTGCACCATGTCCAGATCTTGCTGGCTTTTCTGCATTGTTGCAATCACCTCCATTATAGCATCAGGCCCACCTAGATCACCTGAACGTTCTCCTTTATAGGATCCTGCAGCTTACCTGCAGACCTCGCCCACATCTTTTACAAGGCCCACCTCCATGTTCAACAAGCTCTGCTCCATCACAGGTGCTTATGCTTAAGTCTGCTCCAACACAACACATTGTTTCTCCATAGGTACATCCATCCATCAATCCACCTTCTAACCATTTCATCTTGGTCAGGTTCACAGGGAGACTGGAGCCTATTTCAGGCAGGACAGGACACAAGGCTTCCATCTGCCCATGACTGATCCCCTAAACCCCCCCCCCCTCAAACAGACATAAGTCACCTTGGCACTCAAATAGAAATTCTAGATAAAGATGTAGAGTGAGCGTCCAGTGAAATAATCTATTACACTAATCTCAAGGGGCTGTCGCCTTCAGACTTATTGATTCTGGACTGTTCCATGATTCACCATGTTCTTTCTCATAATTCAGTAATGAGCCACTGAACAAATCGCCCCTTTGCAAGAAAGGGCTGTGAAATTACTCACCAACATGACCTCGATTAAATGAAGACCACCTGTGCGGGGAGGACAAGAAAAAAATAATGGGTGTCAATATTAGTGGGTTTTCCCTGGAGTTCAGTCAGGAACTCGTTACGGGAGAAATATGGCTTTGAAACCTCCAGAGGTCGGGACTGGAACCAATAAAATAACCAACGGGATGGAGGATTTACACAGTCCCTGGGTGGTAGCACGCAATGTCACCCACCATGTGCTTCAAAAACAAGCTTCTTCAATCACTACTGCATTAGCTGAGGATTTCTACTCTTTCTGAACAACTAAGAATTCACTAGAAATTCAGGTGTGGGGGGGGAGACTGGGTGCGAGTCGGACGAGATGGATGCCAAGGATATGTGAGTATGCAAAAGCCTGTGGTCTGTGAGAACCATTGTGGCCCATCTGATCTGAACCATCCGACCACAGCAAGAGCAGCCAGTCGAGGATTAAAACAGCTGAATTTAAGCTAATGAGCGGCCTTATATGACGGCCGATCTTGTTCAACAGAGGAACATTCGACCGTGTCTCTTCTGTAGGCCAGACCTGAATTTTGACTTGAGGCTTGGTTTTGTGTCTTTTTACTGGTCTCAGATTATATCTGTTCGGCCAACTAATTCGCTCTGTACTGCGCAAGACCATCCATTGTCATTCTTCCGCAGCAGAGACCAAAGATTATAGTTTGGAGGACAGAATATGGGCCTGGTCTCTACCCAGGACCCCAAAGAAGACTCTCAACAAACAAACAAACCCCAGAGGGAAGATTACCAGGTCCATCGTGTAGTTTTTGTATCTCCAGGACAGAAAAGAAAGACAGAAACTAGCATCAAGTTGTGCATTGATATAATCATCAATCACCTTTGAGAAAGATGAAAATTGTGGCCCACGGTCAGATATGATTAGTGCTTTACGAGTGTCTAAATGTAACCCCACTGCTCTGGTTGTTCGTACTTCATGTTTCTTGGATGGTGCAAAGTGTGCTGTAGAAACCGATTGTTCTACTGGCCTCACGTTCTGCATCCATGTCGATCAGCATCAAGCTGCATGCAATACCAGGTGGAGGTGCAGGAATGCAAGACAATTGCAAACAGTGGTAAAAAAGAACAGCATGAGCTTGTGCTTTGCATGGCGGGGATGAAGGGGTGCAGTAACCCTAACCCTAACCCTAATCCTAACTATGACAACTTTAACTCCTACCCAGCCCAAACCTTAACGATAAGTAATCAAACACTAGACACGACTTTTGGCAGTTTCTGTTTTTTGATTGCATTAACAGATTTTCATAAAATTGAGATTATCCTTGTGGGGACCAAAACATTTGCCCTCACAAGATTAAAAGTTACAAGTTTTTACTACATTGTGGGGAAATCTGGTCTCCATAATGTAATAATTACAAACGCACACATACATACACAGCTGCAGTATTTTAAAAATACACAGTAATACCTGTATTACCTGTAAAATACCTGTAAAATTACTAGAACACCAACATAAACAAGCAAAATCGCAGATCTATACACAAATACACCTACACACAAAAGCATGCAGCTTAGCGTTCTAGAGCCAGCACAGTCCCACATCTCCGTCCTGCACTTCCCACTGACAGTGAAAACGACAAATTCTTCCTCCGTTATCCGGCAAGCCACTCACCCCAGAAGCGACAGTGCAGTCCTGCAGTGGATTTTGTCGCAATCGATTCGTCAGTCTACTCGCTGGAGGGCGAGTGTCTAACCGCCCCCCCCCCGCCCATTCCAAAACAAAACCGCAATTCTCAACGCAGAGGGCCACTGACAACAGCAACAAAGTGGAGATCACGCGTTACCATGTCCTGTGAACACCTGCCCCCCCCTCCAACCCCCTGCCCCCACGGGTCCGAAAACACTCCAGTGTGCCGCCGCATGCAACATCCTCCTCAGGACCAGAGCCGAGTGGGTCGACACGTGAATGGCGTAGCCCGTTGGGGCCGGCTTTACTCCTGGGGGGGTGCGATTAAAGCATCATCGGGTCGGACCGGACTCACGTGCCGTAACTGCACCCGGATGCCGGTGCTGCGAGAGTCGCCGGGATCCGCGGATGAACTTAACCATGTCATCTCCCCTACGCTGTTCAGCATCTCCACGGTAGGTTCCGCAGGTGGACTGGGGCCACCAAAATCACCAAAATGATCTACCGAACTACTCAAACTACCCCAATAAGGTTCTACGGTGCACTAATCCACCTGTCGGATGGATCACAGGAAAAAAAATGAGTCCCAGTTCCTCTGTGGGGCGTTCAATAGTGAGCAGCAGGATTAACGCTTGGTGAGACCCAGCAGGACTTGGCTAGGGACAGGCAGAGCTGATTCTGGGCTTCTCCTGGGGTGCAGGAGGAGAAAGAGAGGGAGGGGGGTGCTTACCTGTTCGCTCCTGAGCCCAAGTTCCCCCCAGCTCTGCCAGGATAAAGCAGATCAACAGCATGGTGCCAATGCTCATGTTTGACAGCATCCTTCTCTTTCTCCTCCTTCTCTTCTCCTCCAGGTCCCACACGTTCTTGTGTCCTTTTCTCTCTCTCGCTCTCTCTCCTCCTCTCTCTCTCTCACTCTCTCTCTCCCCTTCACTGCTGCACTGCTGTTCCCATGGTGATACAGGACTCGGGGAACAAATGGTGAGGCATTGCAGTTAGGAAGATAAAAGTGTTCCCTCTCTCTGCCTTCTCCATCCCACTTGTGGTTCCTCGTTTCTCTGTTATCCATGGTTTTGCTTCACTTGTTTGGTCCCTTTGCTGTCTTTTGTTGTTTCACTGCTATTGTTCCTTCACAGAACCGTATGGAACCTAAACTGGGTTAGATACCCGTCACTCCACAAAAATAGACACATGTTATGTGGAATGGGGTTTGTGCACATATGGGATTTCTTCCATTTATTGTAAATGTGAAAAGAATTAGAATTCAAATATAGAGAAAATAGGGGGGGAAAAATGAATGAGCATCATCAGGGCAGAGAGCTTCTGCCCCCTAGTGGAAATAAAATAAAGAGATTTCAGTTACCTGAGCCAGACATCGAGGTTCCAGAAAATTAACATCAGGAAAGTGAAATATTGAAGTATTAAGCAGACAAGTCCAACTGTTTTTCAGTTTGAAAAGGAAAGCCTTTTGTGTTTGCATTCTGCAGTCCTTAACAATATAGGACTATATCTAGCTGTGAAATATTTGTTAAGATGTGATGCTTTTTGAAGATGCCCAAAGAATGAGATAGTGAGACCACTTTTCATTTAATAAATATGCATAGATCCTATTTAACTTTTGTGCATTGTCTAATTTTATGTGATGATGTTTGGATAATGCTAACGCTAATGTTTTTAGTAACATCGCTTTCTAGTTAATGCTGGGTTTTGGACTGTAAGGGAGAAGCAGATAGAGTGTTTCAGGTTTGGTCTTGCTAATCCTCACTCTTCCATGACAGAATAATGGAAAATCAGCATCCAAATTCTCCACACTAAAGTCTGCCTGTTTGAAAAAAATCGCTCACACCCTGAGTTTCGAAAAGCCCCATTAAGTTAAGAGTATGTTGCAACTGCCTAAAATTTGCATTGTTGCACAAGTCGTCGGAATTGGGAAACAGCAGTTTAAAAACAATTACCGTGAATCAAGTCCCTGGTATTGGCAAGCATTTCCTAAAACCGGGCCTTGCAGCTCACAACACTCATAATCCGGCAGGGAGTTATGTGGGCGTGTAAATAAACTACAGTTGGTCAACAAATGCCTCACCAATATAAGCCCTCGAAGTCTCCATAGAACATGCATACTAATGCATACACACAACTCACAAGATATGGCAAGCAAACAGACAACGAAATGTTTGAAACAACAGCCATTGAAACTGTTAGGGGTTTAATGATGCCAGAAACACGGACCTGAGATAATTATAGGCGCCGCAGCACAAAAATGATAAAAACAAATTACAGTTGTTTCCGTTTAAGGGATAATGTCGGAACAGGTTGATCCTGTCCTGAGTGCATAACCAATGACGAACGACCACCATGTGTCGCTGTTTGAAGTGGTTAGTGGTAGCTATGGGGTGGTTCAGAGTCACAGCAAAATATTTACCCAAGGAACCCTACTGTTTTGTAGTCGCAGCGGAGAGGAGGACATTGGGGTAATTTAATATAAACCGTGTTAGGTTGTTTTGAAACTGAGGAGCACAAGGAGATCCATCAAGAAGCTAGAACGGAACTCACTGTACTTCAGAAACGATCAAAAATGAGCACAATGAGACCATTTGGTGCAATTTGGTGTGAAGATGCTGGGCTCCTGAGATGTTTAGGAGATACTCACGTATTTTCAATTGGGACATTTTCATATTCCAGCTGAATTTTTTTTAGCTGCCAGCCATGGATGCTTGTTTTCCTGGGACTCTATCAGGCACGAAATGGGTTTTTGTCAACAAAGCATCGTACTATTTTTTTTGGAATCTTTCGTTTCCTGAGATACTTGCCTCCAGGCATCTGATGGCCTGAGAAGAAGATTATTTGCTCCATGGAGATAAGCTGATGAATGGATTTTAACAACGTCAGATGGAATCTAGATGCCATACTAGTTTTAAGGGGGTTGTGAAGGATTCTGTGGCGTAGATAGCTGGTGACCTTTTCTTCGAGATGTTGTCCACAATACATGCATACAGCAAAGTCAGATTCAAGTCTCCTGGTACAGGGAGTCACCAGGTTATGAATGAGATCTGTTCCCTGAGTCAAGTCTGTGGGTAAGTTGGAAGAATAATACAGTACATAATAATAATAATTATACAGTAGTAATACTTACGATATACAGTACAATACTGCACTTTGAGTCAACAAACTCACTGATTCCTCGCAGCACTGAAGCCTTGCAACGTTTTCATGAGTTTGTTCATTATTACATAGCATTGTGTTTAACCTGAATGTTTAATATAACAGACTTTATGGCGATCCGTATGTAAGTACGAGTTGTGCATAAGTCGGATGTTCTTAGCCCTGGGTTTCTGTGTAGCGCTGGCTAATGGGACACTGAACGTCTGTTTTGAAGGGTGTGTGAAGAGCACCGGGCCCAGAGTCAGCATCGATCATTGTGTAGAAAACAACTCGGAATGAAGCCCAAAGTGAGGTGCCGTCTGTGACGATCCCATCTTCCTTCGTTGCCCAACACAGATGTCTGACATTTCCTCCTGTGGCCCACATTCCCTGGTCTTTTTCAGTTTGGGCCTGGAGCTTTTTACCAGGAAACGATTAGAATTCGAACCACGGAAGACGACTGAGAACGCGACAAGGACTAAAAAATAACGCCAAATAATTCAATAAACGGATTGCGGTTACTAACGTTGTGGACAAGGAAAGGAAGTCTGGGTGCATTCGTGTGTGGGATGCTCGTGTCATTCCTGAACAGAATACTAAAACACAGGCTTTTTGCGACAGCTTATAAACAGACGTTGAGTTATGTGCCTACAAGGGATATGGATTTGTTTGAAACATCGTCTGGAGCTGCCAAAAGAACGACTCTCACTATTCTTCATTGTTCCTCGGCTATATTATGCTACAGGGCAATTCCAGGCGGTTTCTAACATTCGCATCATTTATTCGGACAAGTTTGTAGCCTGTATTTATTCACATGGTAGGCGGTCTAAGCAAAGACTTTTCATACTGCTTTGATTTTGTACACCTTTTGCATCCACAGAGACATATTTATTCCAGTAGTTGGTACTTCTGGGAATTTTCTATCAATTCCCATATATTCCTGGTAATTCCTATGGAAAGTTTCCAACTTGGAATACTTCCAAAATTTCCCATCTTAACTTCTCATGGAATGGAAAGTTTCTGGAAAGTTTCCAGAAATTGACCTCCCGCTTGCAACCCTAGTTGTGTGGCAGTTCCCCCCATCGTATGATGACCACAGAGGTCGCTGTGATTTTTATATGATATAGGTCCTTCAGTAAAACGCAATGGGGGGCAAAGTAGACCTGGTGAAACTCATATGCTGCTGTTAAATGTTCATTTAGCTCTACTTCTAACAAATGGACATAAAAGATCTGTCTTCAATCGCAGTACTACAGGACAGGTCCTAGCCCATGTGCCCTGCTACAGCCAATGTCAAAATAAATGTGCAAACAATAAGAGTGAAAAAATAAATGACTACAAATTACTACAGATAAGACCTATACCCTGTAACTCAGATGTTCTGAAGTCATGACATGCCATTACTTTTTTCATCTAGGTAACTTTAACTTCGTTAATTTGAATACTCTGATGGGCAAATAGTATGAGCAAAGATTGTTAATAGAATTTAACTTATATGCAGTTTATCCACACTATAAAATCATTTGATTGTATTGTAAAATGTTTTTTTTTTTAATTTAATCGTTTGATGGTCCTATTAACGATCTTTGCGCATTTTGAAGTGCTGGTTTTCTTGTCGCCACTTAACCCAACGGTTTCCTTCCCCCAGATTGCAACAGCGTGGCGGCCCCCCTGCCCAAAAACAAAGTGAAAACGGCTGGCAAGTTGGCGCTCCACATGGCATAGCTGTTCTGTGCTGGCACTGTAGGGGGCACAAGTACTTATAAGGCTGCAAGAAAGCCAGTTTCAGAAGTTGGCAGCCTAGGCGGTCACCTGTGTGACCTACCGGATTGACTGGCCCTGCAGCACTATGATTGTGCAGTAATTATTGCTGGTGCGTTTGCCTGATGTCATAAACTGTGACCTATAGCTTAGTGGTTCTTGACTGTTGGTGAGATGGTCACCAGCCCAAATCCAAGCAGCTCTTGCATTTCAAAGCAATGACCTGCTAGTATACATAATTACAGTAAAAACTGTCTGCAGTACATTTCAGATTTGTTTGGTAGTGCATTTAAGTGCCTCTCAGTACACTCCATAAAAAAACAGCATAAGACACCATAATGTGAAAAGATTGAGAGTTCAGTTTCAGTTAATCTAGTGGATGACAAAGGAAATGTCAGACCATTTTCCATCCTTGTAGTTTGTGTTACCGACTTAGTTTGGCTTCTTTGAATAATGTCCTGATTTTTCTTTGTAAGGATATTCTGCCGAAACTTTCCTCAGATACGTTATTTCTTTCATGTCCTCCATCTTTCAAAAGCAGTAGACGTCTGTATGTCGTCATCTCTACCAGAACTGTCATCTTCTCATGGTCCCAAAAGTTAGATCTTGCATCATGCATCACTGTCTTGGAAGAACCTCAAAGCCAGCCAGTAAGATTACTATCCTGTTTTCCATTCTAAAGCATAAATTCTGAACTTATCTGTTCTATCAAAATAAAAAAGGCTTCAGGTTTCTGAAGCAGGTGTGTCAACTTCAGAGATCGAAATCATGGCACAACTTGAGAATTTCTTGCATACTTTAAAAATAATCAAACTTCTAACATCTTGCAAAAAGCATTTTTTAAATGTTTTGTGTATGTACAGAAATGTGAAACAGATGCACAAGTAACAATTAAATAAAAAGAAGCCAACATTTCTGCCTTAAGTGCTATCAGCCTTTCTTGCTCTCCCAGTGGGATCTTCCTAGTAAAACAAACGTTAAACAAATAGCAGAATGAAAAGTCTGAAAAAGATGGCTTGTCCTGTTTTTGTCCTCCTTTTTGGCAACCACAGAAAACACCCAAAACACAAAAGGAAAGGAGATTGGAGACAGATTCATGGGCAGAGGAAGGTGTATACAATGTACAAGATGCCTCCTCAGTCAAGAATATTAGCGCAGCTAAGTGATGCCAATAAATAGCG